TCGGTGATATCTGCGACTGTTCTAGACGTGGCCATTCGCGCGGGACTTTGAGGTAGGTGTGAAAAAGCTTGGTAGAGCTCTCGTCAAAATTAGGTAACCGATCGTTCTTCGATTAGGAACTACGAAACCTGCGCAAAAATGGGTATAGAGGTAGTAAAGTCTACGGTTCCAAGGCTATGGCTAATTTGCTTGTTAACTACTCTGCCCCATCAGCGGCTCCCTGGCCGCCTTCTTGGTCGATCTTCGTTTGTGCTTCTATTCCAATTTTAACATCGGGCCTATATTTGTTGCTATCGGCTGTTAATCCATAATTATGCCGCTTGTTGGAACGTCTAGACGTACGAAACCGATCTAGATTATTATTACTATTATTATTATTATTATTATTATTATTTTCATATAGTTATTTAAACCCGGGACGGTAAGCCCTATTTGCAAGCAACAACTCTTGTGTACTCTCTTACATTCAACTACTCTATTCCAGCCTGGCTAATCTTTTGGATCAAACTACTCAATTCCAAATCAATCAAAATGAGGATATTCGCTTGTGTTGCTCTCTTCTCTCTCATCTCAGTCTCTTCTGCTTGGTTTGTACGTCACCTATTCCTATAGCGTTCCAAAGTATAATAATTATATTAACACCATAAACTGTTAGAACTGCAAATTAAATCCACAATGCGGGACTTGCGAAGGAAACAACGGCGATGTAGGATTCTTTGCCTGCGATTGTGTAAGGAGTCTTTTTTCTAGTTGATCGTTGTTGTGGAAGAGGGGCTAACTAAAAAGAAATTTCCATGTGCATATGAAGGTAACGGGTGCATTCCTGTCGCTCCTAGAGAAGGGATAGCGAATTGCGGTCCGCGGGTAAGATAGGGTGCATGAGGACTTTACCGGCGCTATACCGTCGGAGACGATCGGGATTGTATCTCACTCTGTCTTGATCCTATTATAGATGAATCTGCAAAACAATCTTCTTTATACCGCCTTGCTGTGCTGTACCTTACGACTACTTCCAATGCTTATATTCGAATCGCTTTCACTTCTCGTAGCGCTAGTGTACAAAGTAGGCAATATGCGCTATCTTATGAACATTTCGTCCGGTGATCATCTATGTAGGGGAACCACTTAGCTACGATGCATTAAAGTGTTTTTCTTCCCCAGAAAAGGCTTTAGATGATATGTCTTCAGTCTCGATAATAGTATCTTCTAGTATCTGCTTGTTTCCTAGCACCTGTCTATCTTTCGAGTAGAATGCAAACGATTTAGGATAAAGCAGTCGCGTTAGACATGTTTAATTTGATGCCTACTTCTTACGAGTGGCTCTTCTTTACGTTCTAATACTAGCGGAAAATAGAGTTAATCGCTTCTTAGAGCTCTTAGCTTGTTGACCTGTTGATGCAGCATGTATCTGTCAGATAACAGGGTTCTGATGGGAATCATAATAATTGTGGTTGAACGTGTGTATTGTGGTGTGTGGTGCAGTCTCGTGAGGGATGAGACGGAAGGTCGCCCTGTCCTAGTCCCTCTTGGGACTAGGGGGTCTACGTAACGTGATGATCTCCAACTCCGTTGCCTTCCACCCAAAATCTACCTCATATCTGACAGTATCAATCAAGCTAAAAGTATTCTAAATCGTTCAGCTCTACCTATTATGCATAGAAACGAATCTTATACAATCGCATTTCCTTCCTTATGTTAGCGTGATTTACACTAGTAGGACTCATTAGATTATAGCAGACTGCCTCTTTCCCCCCTATGTACGCTGGCAAATGGGTCGGGGTGTGGTTGGGGTTGGGTTAGAAATTTTGCGACCCCAACCCAACCCCAACCCATTTGTCAGCGCCAAGCTTAGGGTTGGGTTGGGGTTGGGTTGGGGTCGCACGGACCATGGGTTAGGGTTGGGTTATAGTAAAAAAATTGCAAGATGTATAATATAGATTTCAATAAAAGAAAAGTTTATATAGTATCACAGTAGATTAACACAGTGTAGCATTAACTAGTTTCATTTATAATATACAGAGGCTTCGCCAGCTAGCATTTAAGCACGTGTATCTAGATATATCTTATAATCTAGAGAAAAGCTAGTAACTCGCGCGCAAAGTAGCGCCTAGCCAATTGAGAATCCTTCTCTTGAATAGTAACCCTCTTTGCGTGAATAGCATTGATGTTGCAGTCTATAAAAGTTATTAAATGAAAAATAGTATAGGGTAGATAGACTATACCCTCAAAATAACCAACTAAGAAAGCTTCTGTAGCTTCCTGAAGAGCTTCGATTGCAGATCGTTGAAAGCGGATATCGGCCTTGTGCACCTGTGCAAATTCGCGCACTACGCGGGAAAAGGGGAGTTTTCGCAAGAGTAGTTCAAAACCTCTCTGGTATCTCTTGATTTCCCGTAATGCGACAGCTAAGCTAAATTAGAAAATAGCTGTGATAAACGACTGTGATAACCTACTGCCGGCCTTAAACTTGCGCTTCTTCTTAACAGCTACAGGTGCCTTTCGCGTAGACTTTCCTGCTACTTGACGTCTAGCCTTACTAGCAAGGGCCTTCTGAGCCGGCTTGCCGCCAGTAACTGTCTTGCCATCAGGACCACCCCGGCCGGCTTTACCGGTGACCTTAGGCCGTGGTTTTGTCCTTGCCATTGCGTAGTAGAGTAGATGATGAACGTAGGCGACGTATGTGATTAATTACTGTGATAAATGTGGTCGACAATTAAGAAAGTAGTAGGCTGAAAGAGTTAGGTAGCTGGAAAGTTTGGGCGACGGCAATTTCCCGATTTCCGCACTAGTAAAGGCAGCAGCGCACGGACTGCATGACGTAATTTGCTGTTTCACGATCGCATACAACCATTTCTGTTGCAAAATCAGTAGCGAGCATATCATACAAACGTGTTAAACTGCTGTGATAAACGCCGAGCTCGCGCATGCGAACAGCCCAAAAATGAAGGAATCATCGATGTGTTGATCATTTTGGGTAATTTCCGCGTTTTCGCGCTAGCGCAGGCAGCAGCGCACGAACAATTTCTAGGTGAGCATAATGCTGTCTACCCATTTCTCCAGCCCCTGACGCCCAGTAACTCCCAACACCTAATAACTCTCTTTACTACATTGAAAACACCCCATTTACAACAGCGCATTATCACAGTCCCCGCCATGCCTGTCGCGAAAGAGCAAGTCGGCGACGTACCTGAAGGCCTAGTTCCAGCCATCAAACTTGAACCTCCGCCTGGGTTCGAACAAGATGAGTGGGAGCAGCTTACCGATGTAATAATCACAGCCATTTATCACAGCTTATGCTAATATAAGCAGGGATTTGCGTGTGAAGCTGACGAGATTGACGGTATCTTAGATCAAAGAGGTAGTGGGGGTTCACGAAAAGGCCGACCTATCAATTTGAGCGTCCCCTATACTGGCTCTCTGAGTGGTAGCGCCCGTGCTATTGCTCAACGTGAACGCAAAGCTCTTTTCGATAAAGAGGAGAAGGTACTTGAAAGCGTTAGAACAGCCGACCGCTCCGCGAAGTACCAACTGAAGAAATCGCTTTTGCAACAGCCTAAGTATAAATTAGCAAATAGTGCTAGACAGGCTAAGCTGCTAGAGAAAGAGTGGGATATACTTTCAGAGAAGCGGTTTACCCAGAAAAAGTCTGGTAAGTTATCACAGCTGTTTATCATAGACATCTGCTAATAGACTATCCCAAGTGGCGAAGGATATACTAGCAATACCAATTGCTCAGGTTGGGGTTGAAAGAGTTTTCAATGTTGCTAAGGATGTTATTGGTAGTCGGAGGCACCGACTATCTGCCCGGACAATACAGCAGATAATGGTTCTTAAGGATACAATATCTCAAGAGGAAGAACAGGGTCTAGACTACCTAGTTGCTCAATTAGGGGAGGATGGAGAGCCAATTGACGAGGTTAATGATCTTTTTGAGCTTCCAGCCTCGTTAGAGCATACCTTCGATATAGATGAGGAGAACCAGACTACAGAAGAAGAGTCGGAGGAAGAGGTCCAGGAGGAGCGTCAATTGCCACCTCGAAAGCGCCAGCGTCCTCAGCGCTACCGTGATAATTAGCTGTGTTAATATATCTCGTTTTATGTATCTACTATATCATCAACGTGTACACATTATCTTAATTAAGTGTTGTTCCGTTAAAGTACCCAAAAAATATAACCCAACCCCAACCCAACCCCAACCCTACCACTTGGTCTGTGCGACCCCAGCCCAGCCCTAACCCATGGTCTGTGCGACCCCAACCCAACCCTAACCCATGGTCTGTGCGACCCCAACCCAACCCCAACCCAAGACTGGGTATACCCAACCCATTTGCCAGCGTACCCCTATGTGTGCGAGAGGATTGCATGTGAAGGGATCTCTTCGCTACTAAATAATTTGTTTTATCCGGCTAAGCTCCTAGTTACTTATCTTGTACAATAGTCGCATCGAGTTTTATATACAGTTATCTGTGCGAGCTGTAAAGGGGGCCTTAGGGCCTCGAAGTAGGCCAAGGAAATTGGTAGCGCACGATGGCTCCTGGGATCGTTCGTGTGGAACACGAAGATCGTAGCTGCCGGGCTTCTTACGAGTCCTGAATCACGATCTGCTGATTAGAGGTAAGTAAAGCTGACCTCCTAGTCGTTGGTGTCAGCGCATCTCCAACACTTAGGGCAGGAGGCGCAGCCCTGCGCCAAAGCTGCAGGTAACAACGCATCATCCGACAGCCACCATATTACCAACCACTAGGAACTCCTGTTGAAGTATGCGATATAGAATTAGAATGCATTGGTCGTTATTTACTGTTAGACCACCGAGATGTCTATGCAGCCCGTACCGGCGAGGTCATGTACTGTAAGGATGCACGACAGGAAATCTGTGACGTGAACTAGTTCCCTATCGCAATAATTGCCTTAGCATCAATACAAGACACTCTAAGCGGCACTTTGGTTTAGCACCAGCAACTTTAATACTGTTAATGCGCACTACTATGAACTGTTGTCGCCTACTTAATCCTGGCCATCGCGTGCTCGAGCCTGTCGCCCTTGCCCAGGTGGTCATCGACGCGGGTATGCTTCCACATAGTTGGATACTTACAACACGCGCTTCCCAAATCCGTGTGACAGTTCAATTGATATTTTATGTATTTACCACCCTGAATTGGCGTAATGTCTCTGTCTATGGGTACGCCTACCGGGGTACGGCAACGTGAATACGCGTCCTGGGTTTTGCGGTGCGTCTCCCTTACAGCAAACATTCGCCAAGCCATAGTCTTTGTGGCGTCTGTCGAACCTGGTCACCGAATCAGAGCTGTCAGAACTCGGTCTAGAGCGGTCTCAACGTACGGGGTGGCATCGCATGCGCCGCATTTGAAATAATACCATAATATAGCGCCATCACGTAAACGATAGAAGTAGATATTGAGAATGCGAGTATAGCGAGGATTGCCAGCTGCGCCTTTCTCACTGTACCGGGGTTTTTACCAATAATCTGTTGTAGCATTGCTGCCATGATAGGTAAACACAATATGCGTTGATAAAGTAAAAGGGCGTAACTTGGGCTTCGGGTATCATCAGCTCCTTGTCAGTGGAGTTTAAGCTTGCTCAAGATAAAAAGATATGTCATGTGTAGACAGAGAACTAGCAGATGGCATAGTGTTTTCAACGAAAGCAACCACACCGCCTTGTGCTGCAGACTTTCACTTTCTAGGCTTGCTTCATTATGTAAGACTATACAACAACTTCCGACGTACCTGGACAATACTGCGGTACAACGAGTAGAAATTGAGTAAACATCTGGCAAAAGGTTTTAGGCTTATAGTAACCTATGATGAGAACACACGACTGATTGCCAGCGTGTCCACTCATGTACGATGCGCTGTTAGTTAAAATCGACTGAATACCTTGGTGGCATACAATTACGTCTGGTCCCATAGAGATTGAAGTACTTGAAATGACATTAGTTAAGAACAACAAAAAATTCATCAACGTGCGCGTTGTGCGTCACGACGCAGTATTAAGTTTACGCTGACGCATCGCAGCCCTGGAGGCGTCCAAAGAAATGCCTGCAGACCGTGAGACAAGTCTATATCCATGGATGCGAGAAAACGCTAATATGAAATAGAAAGAAGAAGCAAAAAGAAACTTTTATAAAAAAGATTTTCTTGACTTCTAGTGGCGACGGACTTCCCGATGTGACTATGGTTGATCAATACGATGACGCTATGACCAACTCAGCCACGGTGGCGGCCCAAGCAACACACCACTCACATCTCCACAAAAGAAGCTTTGAATAAACCCCCTGAACTGCAATCGAATCATCCACTGGAAACACGAAAGCTTTGCGCACCTTCGGTTGCCTTTGGTGCATGTACCTGTTCAGGAAGCTGACTAGCACTTGTCAGCTCACTTTCAGCTACAACGATGTATCGGTCGACATCAGGGGTGAAGATTATATTCCATCAAATATTACATCAGTAAAGGTATAGAAGATATTCATGTACGCAGCCCTTCGCCCTCTCTCAACAGCAATGATGTGTTCGGACTTTGAAGCCGCTATTACTGGCTCTTGTATGCGCTGTTTTATCAGCTATTCTCATTCGCTTTATCCTCCTATCATCAACATACGGCGATGGTAAGGACGATGATGACTCAGGCAGGATATCCCGCATACCATATGACTCACGGTGCTAATCAAGCTGACGACTGTTGATAGGAAGTCTTCCTACGATGATTGGACACGGTCGATGCGAGATGCCATGGAGGTCTGAGCAAGGTTGATGATAGGGTAATCGATCCGACATTAGGCTGCCCGTCGATAGCTCCCCAGGTCCACAGCGGGCTTGATAGGTATCAGCCGCCGGTGCCACCGCCAGGCATCTGGCTAAGACATGGTGGCCGTATATAATGGCAGCTATGCCCCAACTCCAGTGACTTGACGCGTAGCGCTCACGTAGGGCGAAAGAATCCCACATAGTAAAGTTGAGGCCTCCACCGTAAACCCTGAAAAAGCATTGAAGAAAACCGGCAGGACATGACAGGCCAACCTTCCATACGGACACCGACGTAGCTTTGATTCTTAAGGAGGGCGCCCAGAGCATCTCTTTCGCGAACATCGAAGTACAAAGACGGAACCCAACCTGAGACACACCCTCGTCGTACAAAATGTACGTATCCGTATAGTACAACCCCTCCTCGGTACCTCACCTTACGCAGCGTTTTAGTCCGAAACCCGTTTGCGCAATCAATCATCATCGGTGTTAGGAGTACACGATGTCTCGGAAGGTGGCAGGCCGCGGTTACTAGCCGGACATAGCACGGACGATGTAACGACATGACGTCTGTTGGATGTTACCTCGCTGGTCGTTGGGTTTGCGACCGTGCTGGCGTGGACCCTGATCTGTTTGTGTCGGACCTCACCCGCTTCTCTCCAACGACCACCTCATACATACCCCACCTCACCGCACGATTATACACCTCCTCAACGCCGCCTACTTCAAGAGTGAGCATGGTCGGAGGTCTTGCTTTGTACTCATGTACGGCTGCGGCGAAGCAACGGTTGCATGGATGGTGGTATGCAGCTCATCGAAGCCTTTCCCACATGCCCCTCTACCGACGCTACCTCATGAGCCAACATTGCTCCATGCAACACGTGACACTTCAACAACATCCCTGCATGGGATGCGAAAGATACCAAGGTTTTCTCTCGCATACGTATACCAAACGCCAATGAAACCAAATAGACAAGAGAAGGAACTCCTTTTTTGTGTTGTTATTTTTTTTCAACCTTTTTTTGGGGGACGCTCGATTTTATGCGACAGGACCAACGTTATGAGATATGCAAAAGAAAAGGTACTAAGGAGGTGGTATGTACCCAGAGTGGATTGGGAGTGTCCCAACCTTGGACAAAGGGTTAGCACGACAGGCCATGAGGCTGTACGCCTGCTAGCGATTGGAGAAGGCCGCCGATCCACACAAGAGGATAGAATAGGAACAAGAGATAGCTTTGGTATCTTTGCTGATGAAAGAGCTGTTCTAGGTTTGTGGGGTTGGTTTGCTGTGTCCGAATTGGCTCAATCCCTCCACCCGAGTATACCCTTCAAATCTTGAGCTTGCTCTCCATTTGTGGTCTGGGCCCGACGTCGAGGAACGGGCAGACTATCTTTAACCAGGCGATTGTGCTGCTTCCTCATGTGCTTCAGTCTAGCATCGTCTCGCCGGAACACTCGGTCACACGCAGCACAGATGAAGATCGCTTGGTCTTTGTGTACTTGCTTCTGGTGCCGAGCTAGGTTGCCTCGCCGCCATTTGCCATGGAAGACTTTGTTACAGCCCTTCTCGTCGCAATGAATCTCGGACAGCGCGGTCGACGAAGCATCGGTTGTAGAACGCGTATCCGATAGCTGGGTGGGCATTGTCGAGTGCAAAGAGTTTGGGTCATACCCGAAAGGCCTAGCATAGTCAGCATCAGATCAGATCGCGAAGCTACTTTTACTACCCACCGCTCGGTCATACAGCCTGGATACAATCCAATTTCCTGGTTTCCGGGTAGTGGCAGTAGTGGTTGAAGAAATTGGTGGGGGTCTAGAGCATTTCCCAGAGGGGCTCGAAAGCCTTGGGATAGTTCATCTACAAGCAATCCGCAGTTGCGGGTATTGGAATCCTCGATCATCATGCGGCAAGTTGTATTGTCTGCATACATACCGGTTGAGGATGGTGTTGTTGTGGAGCCTTCGGCCCCGCTGACGCTTGAACGGTTGAAGCTCGACAAAGTAGTGTTGGAAGGCATATGAAGGCCATTGCTCCCATCCACCACATGCTGTTGAGTCATTCCAAACCAATACTGGCGCTCACGCTTTGTTAGACGCTCTGCCATGTCCATGACCGCATTGATAGACTCGATGCTATAGTTGTTTGGGTCATCCAGCTGGAAGCGATCATCGCGAGGAGATGCGGGCGTACAACATGCAACATCGTTCGCGCCACCATGCATCTGCTGATGTGTATTGTTGGGATGTTGTGACCAGTTCATGTCGACTGAAAGACTTGGGTCAATATGACCCATCGAATCCCAAGCACCCATGCCATTCATTGTTTGGGAGTCGTTCGACGGTGGGAAGGCCGAGAAGCTCTCTTCTGTGTCAGGGGACTGCCACTGATTGCCATCCTCTTGGTGCTCGTTGGGTGCCATGTCTTCGGCTCGTAAATGAAAAGCCTAAGAGGCGGCAAGAAGCTACCGTTGTGTGTTCGGAATCACGGCTGGTATAAAGGAGCTCGAGGAACCTTGGGTATACGATGAGAGGCGATGTTGTCTGAAAGTGATTGTTGCGATGGCAAGGTCGGTTGGGGTACAGACAGGGGCGTCTTCGGAAGCTTGATGATGGAACGAAGTATCGAAGAGGGGGATCGATTCGGGGTAGGTTGTGGATGTCTAGATGGCCAAGAAGAGGTCGTTACTTGCAAGGCGACGATGGTATCGAGATGGGGACGGTTGGCAAGCGTCGGGACTTCGAGCAGGAGAGTAGCCCACCTAGCGACAATATGCACGGGTTTATCGCTGTCCGTAACCCGCCGCTGTTATGTGGGGCGTTGGGGCGAAGTTGAGAAGGGATGACACAGCTGTGGGTGACGATATTGTGTCGGGGTGGTGGAGTGGTGGAGTGGGGAAAACAGGGGCGGCAGTAGAGATTGTCGGATTGCAGCTCATCGAGAGCGGAGCAAAGAGTGGGAGACGATGGGATTTAAAAGCGTCCTGTCTGACCGAGTTGAAGGACCACACTAGGCTTTCCATCCGGGCCTGTCCATTCACAGGAATCCTCGCGGAGGACGGGCTATGTCGCCGACAGAACGCAGACCAAGATTCGACCTATGACGGTAATGCGTCATGAGCTTTGGTCGCTGGCAGCACGTATGCTCTGTGTCCTGGAATTTAGTGCCACGTCGCTTTGAGTGTGTTGCCAGTCACCTTACATTGTCCTTAGATTGTCCAAGCACTAGAAGATGTTTCTTCCATTGCCGTGGAGACGTTTGCAGCCGACATTTGCTGAGTATACATCATCCATTGGACAGGCCAATGATTCGTAGAGAAGGCTATGATGCTGCCCCTCCGCGCCGGCTGGTAAGGGGCTCAACTACTCCGGTGGTCGTCTGCAGCAACCAAGTGCGCAAGTCGTTGGCGAACGAACAGAAAGTGGTTGCAAGAAGCTTTCACAGGGCTCATTGTGCGCAGAGGCGTTTTGACATGGAAATTGGTCGAAAGGTTCGCATGGAAAGGCTAGCGTCGCCATGTTTGGGCAGTAGGCGCTTTTAACGGAATCAGCTTTCTAGCCGTTACCCATTGCCGGTTGCTGATGGCTGCTCAACCCGCATGCATGACTGCTGATCTGATCTCCGCGTCTAAACGGGTGGGGGCGGGTAAAAAAGAAAGTCCCCGTTCTGTTCAGAAGCTAGACGTTGGCTTCGGCATACACCATATCTACAGCAAGCTGGGCAGCCGACCAATTATCAAACAACAGCACGTAAATTTTACCTTGATGAGCAGAAGAAAATGGCCCAACATGATGAAAAGCATTTCTGCGCGAAGAATTCGGCGCCTAGGGAACAGCTCTCACGCATTGTGGCTGGAAGGATCGCGTAGCGTGCGCCATTGGATTGAGTAGATACATCAACACATTGCACACGACGACCGAAATAACCCTCTGGAGCATTTTACTTCCTAGCTTCAAGACGGCCGTTTGTTTATCCGGATATCGAGCCAGTTGGCACGCATCTCCAGGCTGGCAATAGTATGAGTGAGACGAACTGAAATCACTATCGATTCTTCTTAGCTGCACCCGCCCGTCCCTCGTGCGCATCGCCCACTTGCCGCCGTTTAGTTGGCGCCGGTAGTTTCACAGCGTATGCGGGCAAGCTCGAGCAGTTACCGCGCATGGCATGAAGGTGCATGCATCGCAATCATGTCATGGAAGTACCCGGCGCACATGGTGAAGAGCTTGTCACGAGGCGAGCCAATTTGACAGTTCCCTTGTTGAGACACAGTGACAGTGTGAAGAGCAACCAAGTTGTCGCAACAACGCGAATGGCGGTCTGGCCTCGGGCAGATGGCCTAACGTTAGCGGCCTTGGCACCCCCCTCCCCCTCAAAGCTCCCAGGGCTTGAAGCCACCGAATGACATCTGCATACACACACACATTGGCGTTTCGCCCGTCCTGTCTCGCTCTCTTATCACCAGCGGCCAGAATCAGAATGGGCTGGTAAGTGGGCGCGCCTCTACGTCGAAAGCGCATGTGCAAAAATTGCGTCGCAACTGAGTCGCGTCTGACCGCCAACACGACCGCGTAGCCTCACCACGGCGCTCGGCATCTTGATGTGATCTTTACTGTTAGACTCGGGCCATTATCACTACCACACTTTATGCTGATCCCGCAGCGTTCACGATGGATGCTTCCTTCCTAGCGTCTCGACGAGTGACGTCTCCAGTCGAATGCCTTGCAATCTCAATATCTAGCTATGGAGAGTGCCTTGCCGCAGCACATGGAGCTATTGCATGTAGATCACCGGAGGCAGCAACCCTGGTTCCATTCCCTGGCTCTCGGTCTCGCATCGCCTTGTCTTGGTGAAGTATCGATATGCCAGGGCATACGGTGGCGTTTACGACCCGACAGACACAGCTCAAGGATCTAGCCTAGGCGACACCCGGAACATCAAGCCTTTCGCACGGATGTGGTTCAGACCCAACATTGACGTTGAAAAGCCCAACAGTTTCAGCGGCCATGCTGTAATCAGACTCTGCCTTCACGAACATCACCATTGGCGCCACTATCCCCAGCAGATGTCCTGGGCACGGATACGCAAGCTCTTCTACCATAGCGGTGAAAACTCAGTGCGCCTACGGAAACATCATCTGGTAGGATTATCCTCATTATGTGCCATTCACAGTCGCAATACCGCCCGCCGCTGGTCAGCTTGGAAGCCTAGGCTTATTGTTACACCAACCTCTTTGTGCCCTCGGATGAAACGGCACACTGAGGGTACCAGAAGGTATAATCCCTTTGGTCATAGCACGAATTCATGTTCTAGTCGTTTGCCTACTGCAAAGGCGAGCGCTATGCATGGACACCCGACACGTGGAGGCCCCGCTCAGTATGACGCCAAAACATCTATCATCGGTAGGCCGCGAGTCACAGAGATCCACTTTCAATTTCGCCCAGAATGGCGGATCGGGCAGAGTGACACAGTAGAATCGTCATGTCACGTTGGTGTTTTGAGCCGCACGAAATCACTATCGCTGATCACGTCATATGGGTCTCCCAACATACAGTAGTCTGACAAGATATCATGATACGATAAGATCAATTGCACAACAGAGAATCGGGGGTTCATCCAAAACTTATTCCAGGTGTGTCATTAAAACTAGATTAGATTGATAAAAGTGGGAAATAAAAAGCGCTGCGGAACGTCGAGAGGGAGTAAGATTCAACGAGACCAGCGGAATAGAAAAAAAAATAACAAGCTGCATGCAGCTGCATACACCACCAGGAAAGGAGATTTCCAGCTCCGAATCTGCGCTGTGGCGCACTCGTACTCACAACCGATCACAAAAACTCCGACTTCCGCTATCCTTAGACACGCTTCTTGGGCTTTGTGTCCGGAATCTTGTGCTTGTCCCATTCGTGCTTTCGTGCGGCATCTGCGCGTTTGTATACCTTTTCGCAGACTCGGCATGCTGTCTTCACAGCAACTACCAGTGGGTTGTGGCGAGCGAGATGCCTCTTCCTATTGCCCTTGGCATATCTATCACCCAGAGTCAGTGACTGTCATAATTGTGCCATGTTCCGGGGAGAACTTGACTTACTTTCCGGTGAATTGCGTATTGCACATACTACACGACACGGGAGGATCTGGGGTATCATCAAATACGCCAAACCCTGCCTGGGGCAGCTGTGGTGTATCTTGAGGATGCTGGTATTCATTGAAGTTTATAGGCTGATGGAACTGTCTTGGCGGCTCGATGGGATCGAAATTGCCTGGTGGACTCGCGTGCACTTGAGGGTGACCAGTCCAACAGTGTTGACTGAGAAGATTGTTCAATCCTGGGCCGAATATTCCTCGTGAAGTATTGAGTTGCGTGCCGTTTTCGATATACCAAGGCGCTTGGTGACGAGAGAAGTTGGGTTGCATAGCATACACTGGGTATGCCGCTGATGGATTGAGATTGTTTTGATTTACGCCATCAATACCCTCAGTCCGAGTGTACATGTGGTCGCCCGTGGACTTCGTCGGGCTTACTTCGAAGGAGGAATGGGAGGCCGCAAAAGAAGGGCGACGATCCATGTTTTCGAAGAGGAGTGCGTTTGCACTCTCATCTGGGAAGCCTGACATCCGTCGATGACCAGGCCCCTCCAGGCGTGGAGTCTCTGGAGATATTGGCGAGTCGTATGAATGACCGAAGCTCATCGTTTCAGGAGTATAGTTGGATCGTTGAGCTGTATTCAAACTCAAGTTATCGGACGGAGATGTACTACCTGACGTCTGAGACATGGTTGAACCTGTGGCATAGCTGCCCAACCCGAACGCTTGGGAACCCATGAGTTCGTGGCTTGTAGATGCAAACGTGGACAGTTCTTGTGAAGATCGAAATGCGGATAGTTCGACGAGGTGATGCTGGCTGTCGGCTTCTTGAAGATATTCTTCTCGGGGATACCCTTCCTGGGGATAGGCGAATGTGTTTCGGTCGGACCGGTTGAGCAGGCGATGAAAGCGCTTCTTAAGAGTGTGGCGACGAGAAGGATTTCTTGTATTTGGCACAAGCGAGGTTTTCTCTGTAAGACTTCCCGTGTACCGGCAGCAGGCAGGTATCTTTAGATGAAGACAGTCGTCAATGACGGGAGGCCACTCGGTATCAGGATAGTCAAGTGAATGGGAGCCGAGACGTGCTATTGACCCAGCAATGTTATGGCTAGGCGATGTGAAGCTGATTGCTGGTCAATAACGTGCCCTTTCTCGCAAAAAACTGAAGGGCGCACGGACTCACGTAAAGCTCCAGCGGCTGCTTGTTTCAAAATGAATATGCATTCTTCTACGAAGGGATTATGCTGAGATATTTGACGACTGGCCGTAGCAGCGACAATGGAGGACCTTATCACCCCGCACAGCGGACACGGCGAAGGAATATCCAAACTCTATGGCGGAGATAAATTATGTTGGTTCCTCAAGGACGGCGCTGACGTGAAGCAGGACTGGATAATTTATTTTGCCGTTGGCCAGGAATTGAAACACTGTATTACGCTGTATTCGCATTTGTTTCAGCGGCCTGCGTACCGTGAGGGGGTTGCCACATGGTGCCCAACTTGCCAGGCCAATGCCATGTTGATAAGAAAACAAGTTGCCTTAAGAAGGCAACCGGAGTCGAGCAGGCGACGATGGCTTCCGTCAACAATGTAGGCGACGCTTGTATGGAGTGCACGAGTCGCTTCGTATTCCCGCGTGAGCGATGACCACCCGGTCGCGTCCAATAGATGATGAGAAGGACTTGAGTTGATCAAAGTCGATGCGGACATGTCTGTCGCTAGAGTATCAATCCGACCTATCCCATTTGAGGCGGAAGGACTTGCTCGCATGTCGCCGATGCCCCTGTGGTTTGCACATGGAGAAGGCAACGTGTGGGGGCATGGTTACACTAACCTGCTTTTGGACATTTCACCCAACGATGGCAATAGATCTAGACCTCTCTGCATCCATACCATGTCCCAGGAAGGGCTAATTCAGATATGCGGGGATGGTAGAAGCGCCCTTCTCGCCATGAATGAGGCGAACTGTCCTATGTTTGCCAACGCCGACGATGGTGAAGAGGCATGTGTACGGAAGGCGTCAGATCCAAACGTCCGGTTGTCGAGCGGTCGGAGAAGGTCTTCGAAGTCCCGTCAGGACTTTCAGGAGCAGGGTGTAGTTGGTGGATGCGTGTGGTCGATTGACTTGGACTGCGGGGTGAGTTCCATGGCGATGCAGTGGTATTCAATTTGTAACCTCTGTACGTTTTCTTGGCGAGCCATTTCTTTGGAAATTGAAGAACGACACAGCTGGAGATATACTCTCAATTCCAGGCAGAGTATCAGGTTGTAGCCTCGCACATTTCTCCGATACTCAGCACAGCCCCTGAGCCTTTCATTGTCTATAGATTCAGATGATCATCGATGCAGCTGAAGCACTGGTTGAGAGTTAGACAGCGAGTATGCCTTGAGAAAGCCTCACGGGGAGGCTGTGCCAACCAGTGAGTAGCATCTGAAGTCGGTCCAGACTCATAATCTCAATACAACTACGCACAACCAAATCAATGACTGGGGCGGATGATTTCTGTAGACGTCGCCTCATGCACGGCACATCTGACGCCCCAACATTCGAGGCGCTCGACTCGGAATGAGTACCCACGCATTAGCTGATGACACGACCGACGGGACCAGATGCCGCATTTCTGACGCCTGTAACCTAGCTTGCATGCTGCCGCACTGGGTGCCTCGCACTTCCACGATAACAGGGACTGTCATTGTCAGCGTCACAAGGGTCTAAATTGAGCTTTTCGCGCTAACGGCTTAGAGTCAATGGTGGTGCAGGGGCCCACGACTCGTGCAAAGCGGCCCCCGGCCCTCACGGTCGCCTCATCGCTGCCCGATGGCCTGATTCTGGCCTGAGTCCTCCAGTCCTCAAGGAGCGAAAAGGAAAGCCAAACCAAGGCCGACAACTTTCGCAGATGCTTCCTATTTGGAAGACGTGTGTGTACTATCGATAAACCACATTCGACGTTCAAACTAGGTTAGGTGCGTGCTCCCGACTCCACGGACCCGTCCGCTCGGCGCAATCTCGCCGATCAAAGCCGCTCGCCGGACCATGCTTCCCCAGATTCGGATTTAGATCTAGCAGCACGTCATACCTATCGAACTGGCCTGGGCGGGGCCTGCGATAAGGTGTCATTGATGTTCTTCGGGATTGACCGATGCACGCGCGCGCTAGGAGACTGTGATTGACGGTTATCGTACGACTCCACTAACTAAGTTGCGCCCTTTGACCTGGGGTTGGGGTCTGCGTTAGCTGGCGACACACCAGCATTACCCTGCAGCTAAGAGCGTCCAAGGGGCCTTGCTTGTCCCGCCTGCTCTTTACCATCACACCGGTGTTTGCGGCATACTGCAGTCTTTGAGGCGCTGTACAGCTCTGGGTACCCAATGGCGTTGCACTATGGCTATACGGCTGTACTCGGGTCCGCACCATCGCGCCTTGTTACCTCGCAGAGCCTCAGTGTTAATATATCGCTGGTCCTTCACCATCGTCCTGCAAACTATCAATTGGATGACATGACAGTGTGTCCCTCTCATCTGACGCAATAGTAACACCCCATCTAATCGGCGACTGGTCCTGTGCTTGTCCTGCAACAGGGATTCTACCGCACGTTCTGACAGATCAACATCGACACCACTGTACGAGCTCATCACACAGGCAGGAGGAGGATTATCGATTCTTTTTTTTTGCCTTCCTTCGCCCCCAGCTCTACGATTTTCTCTGTACTATCGACTTGACTGGCTGTCGCTGCGCACACGTGTTCGGTCATGTAATTTCCCAAGATGAGAGGAGGCCGCTCGTAATGCACGATATCTGCATGTCCTGTCTCAGGATGAGTCAAGTCGACGTCTGCACTGGACTATTTTTCCGGTCAGTCTTTTAGCCGCCCAACAGTTTCTTTCTTGCACCGGTCAATGTTCCGGTCAGGGTTCCGGTGAGGATTGACGGTGCGTTTTCGTGCGTTGATGTCGGCGACTTCGTTGTGAGATGATCGGCCATGTGGTGAGATGCATGTGATGGGAAAACCTGCACGAGGGGTTGGCAACGTCAGAGAATGATGCAGCTCTCGAGCGCATTGCAATGATGAATTGGACGTGCTATACGGCAATAAAGGTGGTGACATTGCAATTGCCCTTCACAACATGGGAATCAATACAAGCGGTATCTAGAAAGCAATCACCAATTGACGTCTCAAATATACAGCGTCTCATGACTTTCGCTGCGACAAAACTTCCATCATAATCATATAATGCTAAAAAGAATTGGGTTTGTGCATATGCCAGAAAGACTACAATGTGAGAAATGCAGATCCCAAGACTGCCTACGTAACTTTCAAGGCTGTCATCCGAAATACATCGGGGGCCAAAACACGACCTTCAGCCCTATTGCCCCAATGAGAAATTAAATATGTAAACTCCGTCCTAAAACCCAGGCTGTACGTGCATACCTGCAAACGGAAAAAACGTAGCCACATCAGCTGAGTGTGGAGCCTTGAGCTGGAAAAAAAGGTATCAGAACCCAGCCCTATTATTTACGCCCCAAAAACCATGCAGGTCACATATAAGGAATCTGCCCACTTCCTTAGGTCCTCTTCTATCATTATTTCCCCATCATTGTTTCGACGCGATGATTTGTTCGTCATATCATATCCGGCAGAGTTAAATCAACGTCCACGCCCACCAAAGGGTCTGTACTCCTTGTACTCTTCCTCTTCGTCGTAAACCGCTCCGTCGCGCCTGACATGCCCGACGCCATCGTAAGGGTCGTGAAGACGGCTGTAAGGTATGCGGGGCTGCAGCTCTCGGTACCACTCCCGCTCGGCGTGGTTTGGCGCGATAGCCCGCTGTTGAGATACATTCGTTGAGTTGGTGCTGCCACCATACCCATTGTGAGTTGAGTTCTGGTTTACAGGATGTACAAGAGCGGCTTGAGGGTAATTTGGATTGTTTGAAGATCGGAATCTAGGGTCTTGGAATCCGGGCGCGCTGAAGCGATCAAGGTTGTTCATGACTTGGTATAGCTGTGAGTAATCGCGTCGCGATGGGCGAGGCACAGGCCTATATTGTGGGTCCTGGTATGGGTCGTAGTGCTGTGGGCCACGTTGCGAACCCTGACTAGACTGTTGCGGTGGATGGCTTGAAAATGAGTAATCGCAACGAGTATGTTCGAAGCAGGGTGGGGTAGTTGGTTCGTCGAAGCCTGTCGCGTACGATGTAAGCTCTTCCTGGCTCGCCTATTTACGGTCAGCTATGTCGGATCAAGCTAGCGCGTATAACTCACAGTCCCATGGGTCCGGCGCAAGGGTGTGTAGGAGCCGGCAGCGGCAGAGTCATCACCAGGGCGGTCGTGGCGTGCACCATTTGAGTGACGGCTTGAGCGACGGCTTGGATGGCTGTACGACTGACCGCTCGAGTGGCCGCTCAACGGGGCCTGCGAACGAGACATGTTGGCTTAGATCTTGTGACTCAGTGCTATTCTTGACGCTCAATGTTTCGAGTGAGGTGGGGTGAATGCAGGTTTCGACAAGTGACAACTAACAGCGGCCGCGACAAGGCGGTGCCAGGTACAAAGATACGAACGGGAAGTACGGTCCTCAAAAGAATCTGATCACAAGTATGGTTAGTGAAGACCTGTGGTAGACACAGAGAAAGTAGGAACAACAGCAAGATAGATAGCGTGGGCTCTAGCAGATGTCGAGAGAAAAGGGTCGAGGAAATGGGGGAGCGGGGCGAGAGAGGTTTTGAATGAGGGCAAGCCCACGATTCTACTTCGCAGTCCCGCATCCTCTCCTCCTGGCGTTTGCCTTAGGCATGCTCTTGAGGCTCACTTGGCCTCGTGCTCCCGTGCTCCCGTGAACCCTGTATGCCTCAGACAACCAGCTTACGGCTAGTGTCTCCAGCCCAAAAGGTTCTCCAGAGCAAACCTGTTCGCCGTTGCCCATGCAAGACGTAGAACATGTGTGCGTGACCGTGCAGGAAATGTAGAGGTGATCGCAAAATAGTACTTGGGCAAGCAGTCCCCTGTCAATGTGGACCACTCACGTAAGGCGTATCTGAGGGCGCACTGGGCTTCGTATGGCGCGCACTTGCGCAATCCTGGATATCAGAAGGCGCGCAAGAGCATTATATTGCTTGGGGAGCGCCCAGCTCTTCATTGGACGGGTGATACGCCGTGACGTGTAACCTAAGAGGACGAGGGCCAAGACTGCACTCCTTGTGCAAAAGTGCACTCGCCGTGATAGAAGGCGGCGACGAAATGATATTTGCGGAGTCCCAACAGTTTGGGCGCCACGGCACTCCTTCCGTTCTTTGGTTGACCCAGCCCTGTGTGAGCCCACGGGGCCGGTTGACCCTGGTAAACGTGGCGCCTGGTACGTGTTTCAGCAGAACCCATCAAAACTGATATTTACGAATACGAGGGAAGGGCATCGACATATCAGACCGGCCTCCTATCGTATAGCCCATGTATGCCTCCAGAGCCCAAAGATATTAGCTATGAATGGTGACAGTATTGGATATGCGGGGTAGGTAAGCCACTGTCCTTCCGGACGCCAACCTAGATGAATATGTCCATGGCGTGGGGGCTCTTTTCGCAAACTTTTCTATGTTTAGCCAGATCCTCGACCAGACCTTAAACTTCGTCCTGTTCAGTCCATGAGCGTCATCGACCAGGTTGCGGAATCTGGATGTGGAGTCTAGGCCTTCGGGAGGTAGGCGGGAGATCTCCTTCTGCCGCATCGTAGCAGACAGCCGAAATCCGGCTCACGCGTGGTAGTGGGTGCATCGTATAGAATCAACCACCTGTAGCGCTAGATGTAAAAAGGTCTAGTGAAGGTTTGCAATTGACTGTGATGTGCTCTCATATGATGTTGATACGTATAAGATGACTAAGGCACGCTGCACCCTTGCCAAGACGTCGGAATGGGGCGCACAAAGCCTATCCTCAATTACGCGTGTCTTACCACAACACCATCAAGAACGTCCGGAGGTCGCATTGCGCGAGATCCTCTACGAAAATGCCAAGTCTCAACGATCTACCGGCAGAGATCATTTACGCGATCTTGCCCTACACTGAACCCGACTTGAACCCCGCACTCTCCATCTACCCTCTCAACGCGCTCGCGGCAACAAGCAGAAGACTCCGCGACATAGTCGAGGAACACGCGCGCAGGCAGCTCAAAAAGCACCGCAACATCATCCCACCGGTAAAGTCAAGAAAAGCCTGTCGCCGAAGATGGTTAGGTGAACTATGTGCTTTCTGCAAGAAGAACAGCAAGCGACGAGCATGCTTTCACCCAGCTCTTATATGCTGCACTGACTGTGACAGGGAACAGTTTGAGAAAATGGTATATATATAGCATTTCATGTGTGCATACTATGATGGCTAACACCACAAATAGACAATGACAGAAGCGTTGAGGACAACAGGACTCTCCAAACAAGACCTCTTCACTCCATCCGAACTACACCCAAATCTTCCTCCGCTAAGGACTGGGCTCTACCCTATATATGGCGGTACGGCGACTATGCTGTCTACGCCCGACGTGCTCGCGCGCAAAGCATATATAAAGTCGCTCCCTAGGCGTAGAAACAAACGACCCGCGACAGGCGTGCCTCCGGGCTTAGAGAAGCGTGCCCGACAGACATGAGAGGGGGAACTAAATAATTTGCCATTGAGGTCGATCGAGGTGAGGCAGAGCGGGCTTGAGAAATATTGTCAAAATAGCAGAAGAGACAGTACTCAGTTGGAGCTTAGGTTTAGGGAGAGAAAGACAATGCGCTGTGTGTTTGTCTGCACATGGGCGTTCTGAGCGGCTAGGTTGCGATAATCTATAGCAGTTTTGCAAAATCTCAAATAGGAATCCACAATACATGTTCAAGTCAAGTCTGTATAAGTGAGGGCGATATCTAAAACAAATATGCATAATCAGCTGTAATATAGGTGTCCCTGTTCACTAAGAGAATCCTTCAAATCGTGCTTCCCCTGTATTTGATATTATCTATGTCTGGAAAGAACGCCTCGTCCTTGTGAAATAATTAGGTATACAGCTTGACGGAGTATGAAAATAGAACGAAGAAGGCAATATAGTAGGACGAACGCAAAGTGAAAAGGTAGAGACGATAGTCTGCAAGGGGAATAAAGACGTCGATCATAGCAGTGTTGGCATGCTTAGTTTGGAGATCTAACCCACCTGCCACTTCCCCGCCGAATCACTCCACTTGCCAAAAAAAAGTGCCAATCCAGAACGTTCGCGACCATGATCAACCATGTTTAAAATTTGTGACTTTAGGGAAGCGAGAGTAGGAGGTAGTCATAGGGATTTGATACAGCCAGAGCAGTATCGTGCGCCTAGGGTCTTGTTTAAGATGAAGTGGGGATTGGGTGTTGATATTTGGAGTGTGGCTACTTTGATGAGTTGCCTCCAATACTAACCGCTTCCGTTATGGGTATGAGTGATTCTAGGAGAATATAGGATTTGCTTGAGGCCGAACATGTTCATAGTGCGGGGTAGGAAAGGCGAATTCTCGCTTACACATGTCGCGGAAATGGTTGCATATCCTTGGCTAACATCCGTTGGGTACTTACAGAGAAGCGAGAGAAGGCACCTGTTCTTAATATTTGTGCGCAAAATGCTTGAATGGCTGCGCGGGAAGAGAGAGAAGACCTTTGAATTACTGAAACATCCATGGTTAAATCAAAACATTTTCTAGTAAACAAAATCACGAGATGACTGTTGGAGTGAAGATAGATGAAAAATTCAATTTGAGAATGAACAAAACGGTGAACTTCCTGATCCCAATGCTATACTATGGTAGTAGGACAAACCTCCTACTTGTCAATGGTATCCTTCCATTCAATTCACTCAACATGGGACTCATTGAGACCGCCATGGGTTTCGTCCTTCATCAAACTCTGTACTTGTGTGTACAGGCTTGTCATCCATATAAGTTCCTTCCAATAGCCCCATCCACTACCAGAAAACCTTGAAGACCAAAACCCCATAACCCCATCCCTCCATACTCCATCCATCGATGCTTGATCCCCGGGCTAACACCGCAGCAGTGTTGACATGGTTGTTGAAGCTTGACCCGATTGGCTACCTTCCAGAATTGACCTGAGCCCATAAAGGCCGCCATCTGGAGTGGGCAGGCGGAACACAATCTCAAGGGTTGTTACACCCTTGACCCAAGGTAGGCCTGGTTTAGCGCAAGCGCCATTGACCATCTGTCCTCCATCACCTTGGAGAGATCAACTCAAGATTGTCTCAACGACCAAATGCCAAGGATTGTCGACAGCCACACCTGAGATCAATCAATCAAGCAAGCTGACAGCCCCCGGCTTGATTGATTGGCTGTTTGTATGAGATTTGGCTGGATTGATTGAATTGGCTTGGCGGAAAGTTGTTAGCTTGATTGGTAGCTTGGGTGCTTGATTCCCAAATAGGAAAGTTGTATATATTTTTTGGTGTTGAGTCTCAGCCGTCGTCCCATGTATCTAGATCGTCGTCTTCGCCCACCCACTTGCTAAGCTCGTACAAAACGTCCATCTGCTCGTCGGTAAGCTTTGATTGGCCCATATCGTCGTTGTCGCCGCCACCAAAACCTGCCCGTCTCCATCGTCGTACTGAGTGTAGTGCTGCTAGTAGCTCAGGTGATATACAGCGTCGGCGAGGCTCTAGTAGATCTCCGAGCTCACTGAAGACGCGCTCACACTCACAGCTTGAAGCGGGTATAGAGAGTATAGTAAGCGCCATCTTACTAAGGTTGGGATATTGATCGCGCAGCCCGAACCAGTATTGTATAGGATCGGTGCCCTTGCCAACGATTGGCTCGCGCTTCCACTGCTCATACTCATCCTCCTTAGTATTGCCGCGTGTGGGATCAATAATGCCGTCAATCGCGTCGTCAATATTGCTCGGTTTCTTCGGTGCGCGTGTGTAGCAAGGCCTCGGTAACGGCAGCGACTTGTAATCCGCCCACAGTGCCTGGAAATTAAGATTATTAAGCGCCAGCCAGTCAGGCTTCTCAGCCCACGCTTGATCGCAGTAGTGTTTGTAGCGAGGATGGAGTATTGTAGCAGCGTAGTAAGCTGGCGAGTCGTCGAGTTTAGCGTAGTACTCGTTCGCCTTAAGTAGCGCTGCGCGTAGATTAATAGGAAAGTGATCCTCGGGTGCCTCGTCGTGAGCGTCATGGACTACGCAATCGTAGTAGAGGAGGCGAGCTTCTAATTGAGTGAGTAGAAACTCAAACGTTGGGATCACCTCAGCGATCGCGCCAAAGCTATACTCGCCACGTCCCTCAAAGCGCTTTGTACACTCTTTAAGTGGCCTAAGAACCTCTATATAGTCGGTAACAACAGCCCAATCGGCAGCTGTGAGGCCGTCTGATCTCATCCACTGTGGAGCAGCAGGCCGATTTTTGCCCTGTGAGTCGGCGTAGATATCCTCTTTTGCTGTATTTTGTATGTGGGTGTTCGCGTACGCGTTGATGGCCGGCGCGAGCTTTATAGCTCGCTCAAAACAGTCGAAGTATGAGTTCCAGCGTGTGACTACTGGCTTGATTGGCTGTAGTATCGTGAGCTTGTCGTCTGCGTCGTGAGGTAGCTCACGGTAAGCTGTACGCTGCGCCTTCTCAAAAAGATTGTACTGCTGCGGTGTGTGGATATAGTTGACAATATCGAGAAGTACGCCTAAAGGCCCGTGCTTTCGCCACTCCTTTATAAACGCTGCCTCGTCGGCGAGCTCGTCAACTCCCTCGTTGTTGTATGAGTCTGCATCTCTGCCCCAGAGCAGTCTCTGCCCAATCAGATTGATCGTATGAGGGCCACAGCGGAGGCGTCGGTGTATAGGATTGAAGTTAAGCTCGTGGGCAATCGCAGCGACAGCGGTGTCGTTATTAGAGGCATTGTCGAGGACGAAGTAACCGAGTGTGCGCTCGCTTATGCTAAACTGCTCTAAGATTGATAATACAACCTCAGCTAATCGATCGCCGGAGTGAGCGCCTGTGAGCTGAGGCAGCGCGATAGGCAGGTCTCGGAGCTTGCCATCTGAGTTGACGTAGTGGGCGACGATACCGAGAAACCCGCGCTTGCCGCCTTTCGTTGTCCATCCGTCAAAGCTTATATGGATCTTGCTAAGCGATTGTGACAGCTCGTGGACAACGCGGGGCCTGAGCCAGTCAAACAGTCGTATGACGTATTGGGAGACGCTCTTGTGGTTCTTCCAGAGCGCTGCTTCTGCAAGTGGGTTGGCGATAGCAATTAGGCGTCGAAAAGCTGGTGTTTCGAACTCAGAGATGGGGTGGTTGTTCGCGACGAGCCAGTCTACTGCGGCAAACCTAAAGCGCTGCTTGCTAAACCCGTTAATCTGATTAGCTACTGCCTGTGAGATAGGGACTCTCGCAGTGGTGAGCGCGTTGTAAACACTAGCAACTGGAGTCTTGCCTGGTGCTACTAGCCTATGGCCAGGTTTCTGCTCGCTGAGGTGGCGCGCGGCTGACGAGACTGCTGCGCTTGTATTGTATATCCCAATACCAATATCCGTGAGCTTGTGCTTGAAACACCAGTGGCAGATGAAGAATACGCGGGTTGGATCTTTGAGAAGAGCGACGCGATAGCCGTGGCGATAGATCCAACTCCGCTTGTGTTGGTGCGTCGTGATAGGCTTCGTATACAGCTTAAGGCGACCCCAATCTATGCCATCATAATTGTCTTCGAGATGGGCGTCAAAAGCCTCATCTACAGCGTCGTCGGCGGCTTCAGAAGACGGAGCGAGCGTAGCTTGCTCACTGCCCTCGGCGGGCGCGACGATAGCGTCTTCGGGCTGCGACTCGCGCAATCGCGACTCGAAAGTATGTGTATATGGAGGCGGCGGAGATAGAGCAGATGGCTGAGATTGATATGACTGCGAGTCGATCGCGACGGGCTGGCTCGCAGTGCCGCGCGCGCGCTTTCTAGGCGAGGGAGCGCTATCAGAGACGCGTTTTTTGGGCGGCATGAGGGCGACGATGAGGTGAGGTATACGGCGATAGATCTGCAACACCAAAAGTATATAGTATTGTGGGTGATGGAGATGGAGATGGAGTATACTATATGAGACGACGCGCTGGCTGCTAGTTACACGGAGCTATCGGATATTACTCAATGTTACACGGCGTAACTAAAACACCAAAAAAAGCTCAGTATAGAGCTTTTACAGCTATCTAAGCTGCCTCATGGGCTGCCTCATCACCGAAATCTACTATATACTTAAGGCAATCAAGCTATCAATCTGAATCAAGCTCACGGAAAAGCTCAGCTGGATTGATTGCGTTTTTGTATGAGGTTTGGCTGGATTGATTGAATTGGCTTGGCATCAATCTTCCAATCAAGCTATCAAGCTAGCTTGATTGATCTCAGGTGTGTCGACAGCAACAACCATTCAACACCACTGATCCTCCTTTTACATCTTTCTGATCCAAACCGCAACCAACTGAAGGGTCACCATACAGTATAATCTGTATCCCTGTAACAAAACTTGAATTTCTTCGTATGCGGGTGTGGCGTGAGACAGTCGACAGTCGAACAGAAGCCAGTGCCAGCGAAGATGGTGCCTATGCCAGGATGCCATGGAAACATGTCGATATATCGAGGCAGTGAGCCATTGTAGTGAGGACGATGCATCTTTGATGAGGCGGTATGAGGGAGTGAAGTGGACAAGACGTCAAGGTCTGTGAGGTCCGACAAGAGGAGGCAAGTGTGAAGTAGTATAAGGCGGCGGCAGAACTATTATTGTTCTAGACGAGGCTAGGTGGAGGTGGTTGGGTACAGGTTGAATGGAGCCATGCTGACTGTCGACTGTCGTAATGATGTTGCGTTAATATGACTCATGATAGGTTGTGATGAATGATGTCATGCATCATGAGTCTTGGCAGATGTCTGACTACATAAGTCAGACTTGAGGTACAGAGGCAGGTACTGAGAACTTACTTGAGAGGATTTTTCCATCATGCTCAAGCTTGAAGAAGGGAGTTGAATTGAGAAGTTGGGTGAGTGGGTGGGTTGTGGAGCATGCGGCTCGGGAAGCGAGAGTGCTAAATATTGACAACGACGTAACCCTGGACGTGTCACTGTCTGCACAAGCCGTTCACAGATGGAACATTAGTTTTATTCACGAGGTAGCAAAGTGAGTCTGAACAGGTGGCGGTGTCTGTACCGACTAGGATTACTATCATGCGACTATGTTTCCAGACCAAATTTGGCCGCAGGCCGTAAGTGATCAGGCTTGTATCGCACATGCATCTAAGTGCTCGTTGATATCCGACTCTGCCATTCTAAGATTGCAGATTGGGCAATTGACCAACAGCCTCTTCTGCGTGACTGGGTCGCCGTCTGTGTCTGATCGTTGCCGTTTTTGTGTTGCTTGCGAAGATGTAGAAGCAGAAGCTGGGGAAACTACGTCTCCGATGCTCGATGTCGCCGTCTTCCCACGACTCGATACAGCCGTCGAGGTTTTATCCTCTGTGCTAGCGTCGATGGACCGACCGGAAGTGTCACCTTCAGTTGCGGTCCCTTTCTTAGCTCCGACTGTAATCCAGCTGTCAAGCTTGTTCTTCTGTTTGCCTGCTCGCTCCTTGGCGCTCATAGCATCCAGCTGCTTCTTTGTGGGCGCAGGTTCCTGGATTTTGGTATAGGCGCCTCCGCATTCGGCCTGGTGTCTCTCCCACCACGTGTCGCTCCTGCCCGGGGCTCTGTTCATGCTACGTTTGACTAGGCCAAAGTACGGCGGCTGGGTCTGGCAAGGCCCATTGCACTGCCAGACATGGGTCCGGTAGCTCTCGACTTCATCGTGAAAGGTGTGGTAGATTGTGACAGCGTAGTTGCCGTGGTTGTTAAGGGCGTCTGCAAGCAGCTGGAAGCCTGGTCCATGGCCTGTTCCGTCTCCGCGTGAGTGGCTCCAGGAGGTGGCGATGAAAAAGTAGGCGTGTATAGCTTCATGTAGCAAAGTGTTGATAGTGTCGTCGCGTGGACGGTACTGTAGCAGCGGCGTGCTCAGCTTGAGGCGGATGCGGGTGAAGCTGCCGCTTTCGGGGTCCTTGGACAATTCACAGATTCCGGCGCACTGCGATTGGCATTGTTAGCCGGTGTTTGACATGGCAGTCTAGAAGTGGGTGGGGCGACGGCCGCGGTCCGTGACGGTAACACGCGGGCGGCTTCAGGTGTCCTGGCTGAGACAGTGGCAGAAACGGACTGGCGCAGCGTGGTTGTTGTAAACTCTGACCAAAATAAAGTCGACGTACGAGCGTTAGACGAGGCGACCAAATGACTTGGACACGGGATAGGAGAAGATTTCGAAAGTAGAGGACGTCGTAGAGGGCAAACAAGTCGTGCACGTCGACGAATGGCTCTCCATTGCGCCGAATGACATGGATACTGCTCAAGGCCCGCTGTTGCTTATCCGAGAGCGTTTCCAGTGTCGCAATAGCGGCCAGTGCAGCGTCGAGGTCGGTGGCGGGCATGACAGATGCGAAACATAGTTGGAGTGGCTAGTGTCCAGGGTCTTTGGGCAGGCTGATCTCGGGTGAAAAGCACTGCAGGGCTGACATGGGAGGGACGTGGGGACATGGGGACAGGGGACATGGGACATGGGACATGGGGGACGTGGATGCTATTGCTATGTATTGCTATTGCTATGTATTGCTATTGCTACGCATGAGCCGGCCTAGTGGCTTCGGAATGATTGCCTTGGCCAGTGTGTGCACGCATCGCTAACGACTATGCAACCCAACGCCCAAGAGCGCCGTGCCTTGTGGCTATTCTGCGCCCCTTGCGTCGTAGCAATTTCAGCAGTTTGGCAGTGGCAGCAGCATTTGACTGTTTACCCCTGAACACGTAGTAGATTTACCGTGTGCGCGTAGATCGATCCCCTATATCCACGCCGTGTGGGCGGGAGATATTAAGCCTCGCTATGACGCATTGCTCTCCACATGCCTAGGACTGTCGACTGTCGATGCTGCCAAACTGCTCTCCCACCACGCACGTGCATGCTCCCCGAATACACCGTGCAAGTGCAAGAAGCCAAGATCCCACGACTGGTCCACGCATGTGCGCGACTGCAGACACGCTTGACAGACATGGCTGCCATCGACTCCACACCGCGGGCCGTTGATCTCGTCCGGTCCGCCTCTCAGAGCTCGACCATATCCAACCCACCCAGGAACCGCAGTTTGCAGCGTGTGCGCCCGTCGAAGCGCAGCTCAAACACTTCTCTAAGCCGCAGTCGTAGCCGAGCTGCCTCTCCGGACGTCGACACAAAGAGCCTCACATCGTTCCCCTCACT